TTCTGTGTCCTCACATGGCACAGAGAAATGTCTCTTTTCTTATAAGACCACCAATTCAATCAAATTAGACTCCCACCCTTAAGACCTCATTTAACCTTAATTATCCCCTAAAAGCTCTATTTCCAAATGCAGTCATATTGAGGCTTAAGTCTTCAACACATGAATTTGGGGTCAGTACACAACAGTCACAATCTTTTTTATCTGCTTCAGGGCCTCCAAAGGGATTATATCTGAGTTTCCGTGTGGGCTGAGAGCAATGGGAGCCATCTTGGAACTATATGGACACAGGTGTCTCAGAGAAACTTGTGTAGTTTGTCAAGATCTACGAGGGGCTATTTCTTATATTTTTACCCACTTTACCACTAAAATGTCACTATTTCTGTAGAGATCATGTTTTCCATTTATAATACGAAAAATGAACACAATTTAATAAAAATATACATGGAAGGCAAAATATGAGCTAAAGTATAGTTATTGCACTTGGTATTTACCAAGACCTATTTAAATGAGACAAATCACTGAATTTACAAAGACCTTAAAAACTGCATTTGAAAATAAGGCATTTTCAGTACAACTAAGTTCTAAAATGTCCAGTCAGTTTATGACCTTTATAGTCTTGTTTATTAGTTTTCCAAATGTTATCTAAATTTACCCAAGTATCCTCTTTAAAGTGGGTTATATAAATTAAATGTTTGCAATTTCTGCAATAACAGAAGTTCCTGGTAAAAGAATGATGTTCTATAAATAATTCCTCACCCACAGTTTACTTTGTGAGTTTAGTGTCCGTAGACCAGGCCTCCTCAGGGTGGGGCACAAGGGCATCACAGAACTCTGGCATTGCCCCCTGCAGGCACGAGGTACTTGCCTATCCAAATCAAAAGGCCCTGCTTCTCATTCTTTCAGCTCCTGCTCCCGCATTCAGGGCTGCTCCTGGGCTGAGAAAGAACACACTGACTTTGAGACTCTGTAGAATCAGAGGCATGGGAGAAGACAAACGCTTCAGGAACATAGAAGGAGGGGCTCAGGCAATCATAAATCAGAGAAAGATGTTGGTCCTGAAGAAAGAGCCACTAACCCTGGAGAGAGAGCTGCCTTGGTGCATTGATGACTGACGAGCCGACACCAGTTGGAGATGAGAGTAGCTCTAGCCATGTTCAAAGTGTGGGTGGGAAGAACGTGGTTAAATCATCCAGAATAGCCACAGCGGTGAAAGCAGTTGAGAGAAAGTCTGCATTGGATGGGATTCAAATACCATCTGGGGGTTTCATTATAGAAGGTAGAGTGAAGCACTTTGAAATGTGTTCTGTTTCTCATTCTTCCAGTGAAAGTACCAACCATTGAAACTCAGGGCTTCTTTGGAATCAGTGTCATTAGCCAGACTCCCCCAGTGAAATCTGAACCCTACCCTTCCTGCTGCCTATTTGTTTCACACACACAGTCCCTTCTCCAGAGGTATTCTTTACAGCCAGCAGCCTGAAAGGATACATTTCTAAAGAATCTCATGCAGGCCCCTAAAGACAAAAATATACAGCCTGGGAAAGGAAAAGGAAGAGATTAGAAATTTTATATATATAGCAAAGAAAGAAAGAACATGCAGACAACAGAAAACTTTTTAGAGATTCTCCTAAGTGTCTCCTTTCTTCGCACAGAGGCCACATTAACCTCTCTAAAACATAGTTTTCCCCACGCCATTTCCTTATTCAGAGACACGTGGTGATTCAAACCTTTTAGTCTGGGCTAGTGTTATGGACTGAATCGTGTCACCTCAAAATTCATGTTGAGGCCCTAACCCCCGGTGTGATTGCATTTAAAGACGGGGCCTTTAAGGAGGTAATTAAGGTTCAGTGAGGTCATAAGGCTGGGGCCTATTCCAGCAGGAAGGGTTTCTTTCTGAGAAGAGACACCTGAGAGTTTTCTCTCTAGGCACACACACAGAAGAAAGACCATGTGTGGACACAGTGAGAAGGCAGCCACCAGCACGCCAGAGAGGGAGGCCTCACTAGAAATCAATCCTGCTGCCACTTTAACTCTTGCACATCCAGCCTCCAGAACTGTGAAAAAAAAAAAAAATCTGTTGTTTCTGTTGATTAATACCCAGCCTGTGGTATTTGGTTATGGCGCTCTGAGCAAACTAATCCATGTAATACTATATGTCCACTATATACTTTTAAAGACTTTCTCCAGCCATTTCTATCTCTCCTTCTTTCTGTCTCCGAGCAGCGTCTATTTAATATGCTTTATGAATTCTAACACCCATAGCTTTCTTTTTGTATGTGTGTATGTTGAAATTTTTTTTAAAAAATTAAATTGTAGCAGTGTACATTAATACATCATGGAGTACAGTGTACTGTTTCTGTATACAATTTGAAATATTTTCATCAAACTGGTTAACATAGCCTTCATGTCTTTTTCTTAGTTATTGTGTTAAGACATTTATATTCTACATTTAGAGAGATTCACATGTACCCTTATAGGATGAACCATAGGCGTGGTCCCACCAATCACCCTCCCTCCACCCACCTCCCTCTCTCCATATTCCTGGGCTAAAATTGGGTTATAGCTTTCCTATGAAAGCTATAAATTAGTTTCATAGTAGGGCTGAGTACATTGGATACTTTCTGGGTGGCGCCCCTCATCCTTGTTAATGTGTGTTCTGCCTAAGAAGTTGAATCTTACCTATTTCTCTGGTACCATCAGAGTTCCTGATTGATTCTTTGGTACCCCCTTGTCCTTCACCCTAGACAGGTACAGCGTTCCCCTTCTCTGAGCTCCTACTGAACTTCCTGCCTGAACTACTCCTTTGAACTTTCTCACGTTCTGTCCGTGCTTCTCTCAGAAAAATGGCAGCTTCCTTGTCATATATATTTTTCCTACAAAGAAAATCTGCATTTGTTGTAAGAAATTATAGAACATACAGAAAAACACACAAGAAAGAAAAATAAAGTTCACCCCTAATTTGAATGTCCAAAAATACATCTGACAGTAAAAACCTTCCAGTCTTTCTTCTATAGGTATGCATGCGTGCGTGTGGACTTTAGTTCCACGTGGCTTGTATTATGCCTCTTTCACTTAGTATATCTTAAACATCTTTCTTGTCATTAGTCTTTCTAAAAGGTGCTATTAATTGAATTATTCCATCCTATGTGCTATAATTCATTTAACCCATTCCATATTTAAATTATTTCTAATCTACTTCTGTTTTAAATACCCCTGTGATAAACATTCTGAACAAACAGCATTTGCATAAGCTCATGAAAACACCCTTGGGATAAAGTTCTACAAGCACATTTACTTATAATTTGTGCAGTCAAATTTTCCTCCAAAGAGTTGTACTTTCATCGGTATGAGAAGTGCCCATTTCCACATGCCAAGTAAACCTTGCGTATATTTTTAAAGGCTTTTGTCAATTTGAAATATTAATTTAATGAGAGCTCAGACCATATGTTACTTTGTTCCTTGGACTGCTATGACTACTATTCATGTTAATCTGTCACTTATATAGCACTATTTAGTTTCTAAAAATATTTTCACAGGCGTGAATTAGAATAATACTATGCAACATCTAGCGCAGTGCCCTTCTTATTAAAGTTCATAAAAATTATATGATCGCAGAATAATAGTTATGGAATGCCTTTGATATGCTATACTGAAAGTCACATAAGTCAAAGTCTTTCACTGAATAGATACTGATATATGTAAGCCTTGTAAAAATTATTGTAAGTTTTTTGCTATCCTGAATCTGATAGGCTGTCTTTTCCCATTGTCCCTGCCGTACACTTTGCCTGTTAGTCATTTCATATTCTCTCACTATTCTATCAGTCCTAGTTGCCACAATAAGTGCAATTAAGTGCATCTAAGACTAGCACCTACAACATGAACTCTGTGATTTTTTAAGAAATCAGCAGGGAAAAAAGCATTTCAACTTTGTTACGGTGCTTTTTCTAGGAAATTCTCTATTGCAAAAGCTTTCACCTCCTTTTTAAAAAATTTCTTTTCATTCTTACCCCCAGGTGTATAAAGGTCCTTTCCTTGGATTCCTAGTTTTGAGAATACACGTTCTGCATTTTTAGCTTTCATTTCTCAAGTATAGCAAATTGGTTGTCAACTTCTGAGATGCAACTGCCGTCACCATTCTTATTAAAACTCCCTATCAAACAGACGTGGTCTCCCTTACACTTTGAAACTGGACAAATCTTTAGGGGCAGAACTCATCTGGGACACCCCCTCTACTCCAGGTCCTCTCCCCAGCTTCCATGAACTTCTCCAGGCCATCTATTTCATCTTATCTTGCCACTACCCCTCAGTAACATCTTACTTTTATGTGAATTTCTCTTTCCCTAGAAAAAGTCATGAAAAATTTCACAAAATAAAATAAAATCTACTATTTACGATATGACTGCAACAGATGGGACTTAAAAAGAAATCTCAGAATTTAGTTAATATGTGCCCCAAAGTTTCATTTAAAGACTAGGACAGAATGTCAAATTTTGGAATTATATACCTTAAATTACAAACAATAAATGAATGGCTACTCATCTTTTCCTTAGTCAATGTTTTAACTTTGGGAAGTAGGAATTCTGCCCACGCTAAGGCTGTGGTGGTAGGAATATGACAGGCTTTCTCTGCTGAGCACTGTCATTTTCTGAATGTGTGCCATATGATGGGTGAGAAAAATCACTCTTTTGTGAACTGGATTTTAAATAGATGAGGGAATTATTTTATATTTTAGATTTTAATCTTTGGCTGGAGTGGGTTTAATTGGCATTGTCCTTTGCTAGCCAAGTATTGTATTCAGATTCCTACGTATGTTAGACAGCATTGGACTTCACATGTTCACACGTCTAAGCTCATTTAATTCTCAGATCAACCCTATGGGGGTAGTACGATTCCCATTTTATGGATGAGGAAATAAAGTTCAGTGAAGGAAAGTAATTTGTCTGACCTGACAATGCAGGAATGTTACAGCTGGGATTTGAACACCCTTTTCATACTAGATTTACCTCTGCAATAGTTCTGCCCCAGGCATAAGTGCCGTCTTTGGGTCGGCCACCATTTAGGTAAATCCACACTCGTTTTGTGTCGGGTTGCTGATACAGCCTACTCTGCTTGACTGCAGACGCCACTGGAGAATTCCTTTTGGATTGCCGTTCTTGAACTTCAGAAAGGTGTGCCTGTTAAGAAATACCCAGAGAATGTCATGTTTAGAGAACCCTCTGTTTAACGTCTGCAACGCATGTGATAAAAGCCAGAAATGCCTTGCAATTAAACTGGATTGAAAAAATTTTAGGAAGCAACGATTAATTGCATTAGCCTCTCTTGTCTCTGACTCTCCAGTAAGTTGTCCTGCATCAGTGAGACCCAGAAGGCAATAACAATCATTAGTGTAATAACAGTAATGAAGCACTCATTTTGGCAAAGAACTGAACTTCTACTTGTAATGTAAAGAAATGAAGGGAGATGCGCTTCTGGACTTCTGAGTGGTGTTTCTCCTACTTAGAGATTTCTCTGCAGCTAACAAATGAGTTTTTGATTAGAAGCACAACATCATTTCCTTTAACCAAGAAGCACATAAGGGAGTATCCACGGAACCTTGTTTACGTCCTTACTTGCTGCCTTTTAAAATCCAGCAGCCACTCTTATACTTGGCCAGATTCCTGCCAGGCTGCATTTTATCCGACTTTAAGCCTGTCCTAGTTCAATGCTTTGCATTCATTCCCTGGTCAGCGATTTATCCTTCCTAGCTTGGCAAGAAGTCATATTTCCGGCAATGTCAATTTCTTTTTTCTAGTAACGTTGACTCAGGAACATGTCTAAGATGGAGACTGAACACATTCCGCAAATTTGAGAAACCCTATTAAATAGAAGTATATCATTTTGATGGAAAACTTCTCAAAGCAAAAAGTTTCTCCCTGGTTTCTTTCCCCAGTCTTCTCTCAACAGCTGACCTTTACCATTTCAACTTTTTTATATCTGGCAATCCTGACTGATGAACCGATTGGACTGAAACCACTTCTTACATTTTTCACTTCTGAATGTCTCCACCGCAATTAGTATTTTGCTCCTTGGTCTTTTTACATATTAAGACATGCCCTTAGGAGTAATGAACAATAAAGCCATAAGGCTCAACGTGACTACACTTATTACAATTACCTTTGTACGTATCCACTGGGCCTTTTTCTCCTCTTTGCTAAGGTCATAATTTCTGGTCTCCACTCAAACAAAACAGACTTTCATATGAGCTGGCCGTCTTTTAGACAGCTACTCTCCAAATGCCACTCAATGCTTGGCATATGCTTATATGGTTATAACTGCTCAGATGCTGAGAATATATTAATAGCATGATTTTAAAATTCAATGTTGTACTTTTAAATGCGTATAAAAGAGGCAAAGTCGTTAATGTCTACAATCCTAAAGAACATACCTCTGTATGACTTATAAGTTCCATGAGTTTAATTTCCTCTTGAGTCTGCTTGGTCCAGCCTCCTTCAACCACCACCGGCTGTACAGGGCTCTTGGTGGGGACCATGGTGGCCGGCTGACATGCTGCTACTCGCCTCCCTGAGGAAACAAGCCTCAAGAAGTTTTATTGCTCATGATAGGCTTTCAGATTTCAAATAAATTGGCTTGGCTTTCTATGCATAAATCATTCCACCTAGGAACATAGGCTAAAATACTAAATATATCATAAAAGCAACGATGCCTAAGGTAATAGTATCTAACAATACCTCTTCACATGGGAACTTGAAGCTGTAATAGCCAGGATACTCACTCTACTGATGGCAAAGAGAGATAATGTGCTGACTTTCACACTGGCCCCAGCCTCACATCCACGACATGGTTCAGCAGTAATTTAGTCAAATAGAATTCGTGACCTTATATAGTTCCTATCATCTCTTCCAGTCCTGGAACATATGTTTTGTTCTCTTCACTAATAATAAGCCTTTCCCCCACAATTAGCTTAGCATCCAGGGATTAAGTATTTCTAAAATAATATTAACCCAGGAGACAGGAGCCTTTTTTTTTTTCTATCTAATAATACCCTGTGAGCACGATTAGTTTCTGACACCTCTGCTGTGCCCTCTATGCTGTTAAGAAACTGCAGTAAGAGAAAATATTTATTAGAACACTGTATTCTAAAGAATCAAAGGCATAATTTAATGTGTGGTAATTCCAATTTATACATTCTTTCAACCAGATTACATAAAACCGTTATAAAAGAGGTTTTGAAAGTCACACTTATAAAAATTTCTTTCTGTGTCGAAGATATGCTTAGCACTGAATTTCATACTGATCTCTAAATTTCTTAAGTAATAGGAATACTTTCTCATATTCTTTCTAGAAACCTATCTTGAGTAATAACTATGGATCAGGCATTGTGCTGGATAGTGCAACCGCAAACGCATTTGAGGGTGAGGCTTTGCTCAAGTTTGGAGGGTAAGGCAGCAGCAAGGAAATGTTACACCAATAGATGATCGCAATGACGCAGCCCAGGGAAGTGCAGGGTGTATAACAGCTTCTAACAGAAGTTACTGACTTAGTCCAAGGCCTCAGAGAAGGCCTCCCTAAGACAGTAACATTTACGTGGAAAAAAGGATAACGCTACTATGTGGAAAAAAGAATAACGCTACTAAAATGGAGTTGAGTCTCAATTTTGTTGCCAATATACTCTCAATGTGCAAATTTTCAGACTGTGGCTACAAACAAAACTCTTGGGAAATAATTTGACACTTGCAGAGGATAAAGCATTTATGCTCTTGTAGCTCAGGTTTATGCAAATAGATCCAGCAACGCGAATAAATAGCAGCAGTGAGTTTTCCGAGAAACCAGAACTCCATGTGCCTAATAAGGATTCCTACGCAATTTACAGATGTGGAGAAAACATAATTGAATCAGTCAGTGAGTTACAGTGACGATGGCATTAGGTTTTGGAGAGGACCAGACTGGTACCTCACAAATAGATGACACAGATTGATAGTAAATATAGTTTATATCCAGCTCTATTTATAGAGGGCAGACAATATTAACTTATGACACATAAATTTTTATAAATCATGTTTCAACAAATATTTTACTTACAGTGCATTTTGAACACTAAAATTTTGTTCAAATAAAGAGGTTCCAGAAAGGTGTGCCCGTTAAGAAATACCCAGAGAATGTCATGTTTAGAGAACCGTCTGTTTAGCGTGTGTAATGCCTGTCATGAAAGCCAGAAATACCTTGCAATTAAGCTGTATTGAAAAAATTTTAGGAAGCAACAATTAATTGCATTAGCCTCTCCCGTAACTGACTCTCCAGTAAGTTGTCCCGGCATCATACTGTTGAGTTCTGGGGAATGAATGTAGAAAACAGGACGGCAAAGCAATTATGTATTATTTGGTTTTGTCGACTTGCTTTTAACAGTCCTGAGAAAATGAACGCATTTGCACTATAGTGTTCATAAAGAGATCATCACAAAAGGTTTTATAATAAACTATTATTTCTGTAAGTAAGAGCAGCATAAATTGAAACCAAGCAATAATATATCAAATAAAGTATTTTTTTAATTTTATTATTGCATTTATTCATGCATTCTATTTTATTTTACAGGAGATCAGAGGCTAATAATGATAATAACTGATTACTAATGGGGCATACTTCTTCTCTACTCCTATTGTTTCATTTCAAGTCAATGGAGCCCCACTGATACTGCAGATGATTTTCCTGATCAGAAACTGAGAAAAATATGCTGAGGATTCTTGGCCCTTTCATACCATTTTTTTCTCTTAGAAGCTTGAGAACATAAGCGCTTTGCTATTCCTTCAGGCCAGATAGCTCTCTCCACACCCCTCCCTTACTGGGAGGCCCAGCCTTGTTCAGCATCATCTGTGTCTGGCAGATAAGTCCACCCAATTTGGACTTTTGATTGCAGATTCATTTAGCTTCCACACTAAATGAAATGCTTCAGTGTTGCCTCTGTTTGTGACTCAGGTCATACTGCCACTTCTGAGTTTTGTGTGTCAGTTTTATAACCTCAAATAGGAAAATGGGTTGCCTTCTCAAGAATCCATGTACGTGTACCAATATTTATTGAATAGTTATTATGTGCTAACCATGTAGTAAATATCTGGCATTTTTTACTTAATTATAAAAGCCCAACAAAGTAGTTACTAGTATTATGATTGGCATTGTTCATGCTTACAAATGAAACATAAAATCAGCTTAGCACAGTGTTTTGTGCATACAATATGCTTAGTAAACAGTTGTTGCATTTACCAATGGTTATAAAAACAAAAACTAGTTGATTCAATAACTATCATACCTCCCATACCTCAAACCCTCAAGAAGCTCCCTGTAAGGGAGGGGTGTGGAAAGAGGTATTTAGCATGAAAGAATAGCAAAGCACTCATGTTCTCAAGCTTCTAGGAGAAAAATATCTTATAGGCACTACATTTAAAGAAACTAAAACATTCTCACTTATCCTATCCTACTAATCCCAACAACTAGGAAAAAAAAATTCTTCCTCAGAATAAGTATTTTATAAGCATGTTTCAATTTTATATTTAATAGTAGAAAGCATACCAGTTTGTCAGTAGAGATAGGATTTATCCTAGCACTAAATTCTGAGAGTAACTACATCAACAAATTCCTCTGTAATGGACTTCAACTGGCCAAATATTAGACTGTTTTTAACGATATTATAGATGATGCCAAATGAACTTTAAATGTCTTTTGAATATTTAACTGTAATAAAAGCTGAAGGCATGATATAAAATCTGAATTCAGCTCTGCCAGTTGCTATTTTCAGTATGTTGCTTTCTATTGATTTAATTTGATACAGGAATAGAGCTTAGGAAACTCACTAGAGTTAATGGTTGAAATTCCACTCATTCTTTAATTCATTCTACAACTATTGAGAGAACAAATTAGAAAAGTACTGAATTTATAATCTGACATAGGAAAGATAGTCATACTAATGGGTAATTATACTAATGGGATGGGGACTATCAGAGGGGATGGTCAGGGTGTGGTGAACCACATTATCCCTGGCTTGGAATGTTGAGGAAGTAACAAGTAATCTAAAAAAAAAAAACAAAAAAAAAAAACAGATAATAAATAGGAGCAAACAAAAGGAGAGGAGAGGAAAAACTTTCAAGCAGAGGAAAATGAACTGTACCAGAAGGTCAGAGTTAAGAAAGTCTGTGGCACATCTGATGGACTAAATCAGATGTATGGAGGTCAGTATGCAAGGAGAAAGCGGAACTCAAAGAGAACAAAATCATAAAGGGCCACTGTGTATTTTCACCCACAGTTCCTGGCTCCTAACTCCCATAACCTTTGTTACAGTCTTTAGTTATAATGCTGGGTGTGTCAGGCCTCAGAAAACAGGATCCCTCGGACCTCCCCCTGCTTTCCTTTCACCTGCCCCAAGGCAGGATCTAACCTTCTTCCCCACTCCCAAACCCCTTTCTGATTGTGGGGTCATAAGATCCTCATTTCATAGAGGGACCTGGCACATATCCAGGGGAAGGAATGGTGACATCATGAAGCTTCCATGACAACCCAAGAGGACTAGGGTAGGAGAGCATGAGCTAGCCCAACACGGGCAGTTCCTAGAGGGTGGCACGCCAGAGAAGGCCGGGAAGCTCCACGCTCCTGTCCCCAGACCTCACACTCTGCATCTCTTCATCTGTATATTTCATAATAAACTGATAAATGTAGGTGTTTCCTTGGTTTCTGTGAGCTGCTTCCCGTAAACTAATAAAGAGAGGGTTGTAGGAGCCCCAACTTGAAGCCAGTCAGTCAAAAATTTCAGAGGCCTGGATTTGTGACTGGTGTTGGGATGGGGTAGTTTTGGGGACTGAACATCCAACCTGTAGGATCTGACACTATCAGAATTGAATGGGAGGACACCAAGTATCCTTTGCAGAATTGATTGCTCCCTTGGGGTGGGGAGAAACACTTCCCCCAAAACACTTCAAGAGAGGTCACAGAAGCCTCTCTGTTGGTGACTGTTATAGTGTGAAGGCATAGGAAAAGTTGTTTGATTTTTTTTGAACAGGCTCATTAAAGAGTTTCAATTTCATCCTAAAGATAATAATAAGACTCAAAAAGTTTTATGTTTGAAGTACTATAAAACCTTTGCATTTTCACATAATCACTTCAACTCCAGAATGTCACCATTATAAACAGAAGGAAAACTACTGTCCAGACTGGAAGCAGGGAGACCAGCTAAAAAACATTCCACTCAGTCAAGATGGCAACTTGAACTTGGAAAGTGGCAATGGGGATGGTTAGAATTCATTTGAGATTAGCTAGATGTATTCAAAGTAACAAGACTTACTGAATATTTGCTTGAGAAAGGTGAGGGAAAAGATGATGCCAAGAATGACTTGCAGGTTTCTGAGACAGAACACCCAGATGGTGGTAGAAGCCATGACTAGAGAAGGCAATGGAGGCATTTGGTGCGGGGTGGTAGATTTAGTTTTGGACATGTCCATGGGATGTTCAAGTGGAAATGCCTCGTACACAGGAGTAGTAGAGGTTGGTAGGAATAATAGATGCTTTTCACTGACAACAACCTTTTTTTTTTTTTTTTTGGTAAGAACTGGATAATAGCCATTCAAACCAGAGTTCTGTCTAGTGCATTTAGGACAAGTTGTGCTGTTTATGGAAGCACGATTCATTATGTTTTTGCTTCCAAACAGTGTACATACTCCGGAGCTGAATGAAATTCCTGCTGTGGTAATTCAAGAGCATGAAACATGTTCTGTCCTAGACTAAAGTCCATAGTATACTGTTTTTCCCCAAAGAACCATTTGCATCTCAAGTGGTGGGAATAGTATAAGGTCAGGAACCTAAGATTCTGTGACAAAGAGAGTGGAAGAAGAGGACAGATGACACCAATAGATCACTTTGGCTATAAACGGCATATCTTACACTGCATAAAAAGGAAGCCATTTAAGTTACTGACAAAGATTTTTAGTATTTCCTCACTTAGATTATTTAAAAACAACAACAAAAACAAAAATCTTTCTTCCCCAGAATACCAAAGGCATAACAATTTTTGTTTAAAAACTAATTCAATAGCCCATAAAATATCAAAGCCACAGGGTGGGTTACCTGGCCTAGATAGCCTCCTAATTTTTTTATTATATACAAGTACAAAGCCATCTGGCATTTATTTTAATATAAAAATCACACATGTAAAATTAGTATGAAAAAGATATATTATTAAGTTTTAGACTTTTCCCAGCTAATTTAAGTAACACCATATTTATATAGTACTCAATGGTTAAACACCCGGTACCTAATGACCGAAAATAACCATGAGCAATATGAGGTTACATTTTGCATTACATACAGTGATGCTTGGTCTAGTTCACACTGACCTTTTAATTGTCTCATTTTGTGTTTCATGGTCTCCAGATCAGCCAAAATTTTGTCCTTCTTCAGCCAGTTTTGTCTCTCTAGTTTTTCTGCTTCCTGCAAAGCTAGAGTAACAAAAATACATGATATTTTATCTTACATTCTTTTATCAACAGTAATTTATCATGTACACCAATAATTTATAAAGAACTTTCTGCTTCAAGAAATAGATTCAATTAGAAACAAGTAATTAAAAGGTAAGGGTCATTAGAAGAAACCTCATTTGAAAGATGACAAGGCTTAAGGCATTTCTTTATGGAACAGAGAGAGGGGAGAAAAGAAGAACAATGCTGTTTTATTATATAGATTTACCATATGCAATAGCCATATTTCATTTTCCACTTCCACAAACTATTTGGAGGTGATGAAAGCCTGGCTTGGAACCATTCATTTTTTAAACATCCACCTACTGCCTAAAGGGTGCAATTCTTAAAAATGAAAATGTGCAGACAGGTCGTCCTCAGTGTGAATTAAACTCATTTGTTATTTTCTAATGTATACCATTATTCTCAGTCTCATAGACCAAGGATCTCTTTATCAACTAAATTAGACATTTTTCCATGCAGAGTACTCCATTCCAGTAAGAAAAAAACAGGCAATTGTGCAAATATGGGAGTATAGCTATCTTTGTGCACATATTAATTGATGGACCTCCTGTTCTTTGTATAAATACGATGTTATTCTGGTGACACTCTACATATTTAATTCATTTTCTTATGGTGACATGAAATCTGTTTCTCTCTCCCTTCATATACTTGTTTGAAAGAAATCAAAAACAAAACTTTACCCTTTGGAGGTAGAAATGGTTCACCACAAGATACCCAGACGGCAATAGGATTTCTGAGGATGAGGGCGAGCACAGACTCATCAATACCATCCAAACTATCGGATGTCGCAGGCTTTGGAAATAATTTGTTTTTCACTTCCATGCTCAGGTTTTCTGGGGGTGGGAAAATGGCCTTTCTGAATTAATTTGTTTATTCAAAATATTTCATTCTTCATTCATAACATGATTCAAACAACCACTACTAAAACCAGAGATCAATACATAAATTTGATCAGAAACTTCATATGCAACCCAAGAATTTAAACTCATGTGATTGTAAATATGTTTTAATTCTTTTATTTACACATCACCTAGAAATGGAAGCAATTTGACATGGCTTATCAAAACACGTACTCTAAAACGAGAAAAACAAAGAGTTAAAGACAGCAAGTGAGAGCGAAAGGAGTACAGCGATAGACTAAAAGCCGAGGATAAGGTGCCTCCGTGCCCTTATATTTTAAATGAATAATGATATCTATCTTATTCTGCTGTTGGGAAGAGTAAAAGAAAAAATGAAATATGTAGAAGAAATAGCATTTGGCCTATTTACTTTGGAAAGTATCCAATAAATGCTAGATATTATTTTTATTATTCAACAGAAATAAATACCATTCTGTTTTTATTTACTAGAGATAAAGCACAATCAGAGTCCTGAGCTTCCTAGTAGCCAAAGCAATTTCCCATTTCTTCTGGCCCACACAGATAAACCCCTCAGGAGATGCACTTTTCCTGATCCTGAGATATGAGAGAAATCCCTTTAAGGGTCCTCCTACAGGGATTGTTTGTGATATAGCTAATAATATCCTGCAATAGAAATTAATATATATTGAGAACTCACTGTGTGATGGACATTTTACCAAGACCTTTATATACATTGCTTCACATGATTCTCAAAAAGAAACTTGGAAGTAGGTCTTATTACACTTCCTCTTTTACAGATAAGATAATTGAGGTTTAGTGATGTAGCTAGGTGGTGGCAGAGTCAGGATTTGAATCCAGGCCATCTGCCTCAAGAGCCTGTGCTCTTCACCACTGCCTGCATAGGAAGTACCATGTGGAACACTGATAACAGCTATTTGTAAAGTTCCTCAACGCCAACTGACAGCACAGCACCAGGACACAATTCCATAAAGGGGGCAGCCCGCTGATGGCCCTGCTTGATTTCCAGATCACTAGAATATAAGGAGGAAGGGATGAAATCGAAAGGGTTTGCTTTGATGGTCCTGCACAAATAAGATTACTTCCAACCAGATTTTAAATAAGAATTTTAAAGAAGAGTGTTCGAAATTTTAATCTTATAATACCTGGAGTTCAGTTATTCTGTATGCTGAATAAAGGTAGAACTATATGCTTTTTGTGATCAGCTAGGCATTAAATGTTCACATAATGATTTCTTAAAACCCAGTAGAAAACAAAACAAATAATATCCTACACATAACAGTAAGTATCCATTGAAAGTTTAGTAAACATCCACCAGGCACTAAGCGAGATACACACACACATATACATACACACACATATGTTTTAATTCATATTTATGAGAGCCAAATGAATATAGATATTGAATACATTATATTCAAGTGAATACATCTATATAGACATGGACATAAAGATATATTTGGTCTGGTTTGAATGTATCCCTTTCAAAATTCAAGTGTTAAAACTTAAAGCCCAATGTGATGATATTAGGAGAGGGGGTTTTTAAGGGGCGATTAGGTCATGGAGGCTCCTCTCCATGTGAATGGGATTAAAGCCCTTATAAAAGAGACTTCATACAGTGTTGGGCTCTCCTGCCCTTCTGCCTTCTGCCATGGGAGGACACAGAATTCCTCCCCTGTGAAGGTTGTAGCCTTCACCAGACGACCGAACCTACTAGCACTTTAATCCTGGACGTCCTAGCCTCCAGAACTGTGAGAAGTATATTTTTTTCCTTTACAAATTACTCAGTCTATTATATTCTGTCACAGCAGCACAGACTGAGATGATATTCACTATGAGTGTGTGTGTGTGTGTGTGTGTGTGTGTGTACGCATGTGTGTGTGCATGCCTGCCTATGTTCATTGGGTCCTCATAAAAACTTCATGAAGTAAATGACTACTAGTATCTCCATTTTACAAACGAAGAGGTTGAGGTATACAGTGGTTAAACAACTTTCCCCAAATCACTCAGCTATCAGGTGAAAAGGCTGGGATTTGAACCCTGATACTCTGCTTCCAAAATTCAAGTAATTAATCTCTAAACTCTTTCAGTACAACAACCGTGGAAAGTCTCACATTGAGAAAACTCTACTGAACTACTAGTAGCATGATTTGCTCTTCTGAAGCAAATTGTTGTTTGGGCTACGGTCCCTGGCCGCAAGCTGTAGATAGCCTAATGAGGTACACAAAGATGTAAACAGGTGACTATTATGCAATGTCTCTCCAGTCTACCGGCCTCTGTTCTGCCTGCCAAGCTACTGAAGGGTGTGCATTATAATGCAGGGTGATAAAAGCTGCAATAGATGGCAAGTGCCGGGAGCTTCTGGGAGTTTATAGAAGAAGTGGACATGACCCGGGCAGGGAAGGGAAGCTGGAGAACAGAGGTATAGAGAAGACACCTTCGCTACTAACAGTAGGAAGGGACTTGCACTGATCTAACCCCAGTTTCTAAAGTGGTCTCCAGTAGGTTTGGGTTGTCAATTGAAAGGAAAAGATGCTCATGTTCTATGAAATAGCTTAACTGTCAAATACATTTTATTAATTCTATGCAATTTATTTATTGTTTCAGTGCTGAAATCAAAATTTACATTAATTTAACTTTTTTCTTATTATTCTACATGGTAAAACAACCTGAGAGTCGGGAGGCTGAGGCAAAAGAATCCCTTGAGCCCAAGAGTTTAAGGTTGCTGGGAGCTATGATGCGATCCGCACTCTACTAAGGGTGACAAAGTGAGACCCTGTCTCAACAACAACAACAACAAAAGGAATCACATTTAACTTTTTCATGATCAAACATAAATAGAACCAGCTGAATCCTATAGAATGGGTCCATACTTTGAGTAGTTAATTCTTCTGTGCCAACAGGATCCGAGTCTTTCTTTAGTTCCTCAGAGTCTCTCTGGATAAAGAATTCATCTAGAGCCCATAAAACCAAATCACGCAAGGTAAAAATTGCAGTTCCATCTTTGGTATACACTTTAGAGGCTGCTCGGGCAAGCTCCAGTTTTTCTGTGCATTCTGTAAGAAGCTAGATAACACAGGCTGTAAGGAACTGACAGGAAATAGTGATAGAACTTGAAATAATCATGAAGTGTTCAGCATTTCTGAGAAAGTCCTTTAATTTGAGAAGATAGAAAGCTGCATAACTACCATCTTGATCTTTGATTAGAGAAAATTTTTGATATTGGATTGTCCTACCTAATCTTGCAACATTAGTCTAGTCCGGCAGTAAAAATTCCTAGCTTCAAAAAATTAACACAGCAGTTGTTGTTTGTTAATACATTTTACCCTCTGAGTATTTTCTAAGAAATGTTCAACTTAGAAATCCACTTTCACTTTTGCTGCTCTATAAGGTATAAAATCATTGTAATACTTCATATTGATGAACTGCTTTAAAATAAGTGAATAGGTAACTATCAAAGCAAGAACTGACATGTTATTATTACCTCCTTTGTGCAGATAGGAAATAGGATAAAAGATTAATATTCTTGCCTGAGACCATAAAAGCCAGCTGTGGATCTTGAAGTCACTAATTTCTATACTTTGCTTAGGCCATTGAACAACAATATCTTAATTTTTAAAATCCATTTGTTTTCAACCAAAGAGGTAAGTGAACGGATATATGTGTTTGCAAGGAAGCATGCAGGGTACCTCCACGTCCCATTCATCATCACTTGTGAAATATGCTGTTAATGGTATTGGTCAGAATGTGTAGGCAAGACAATCATCATACAATGGGAGCACAGGCTGCTTTCAGGCCTTTTGGTCTCTCCTCTCTTCCTATGATGGTGGGGAGTGGCCCCCAAGATAGGCCGCGTAGTTACTCCTAACACAACCCCACTTTTCCCACTCACAATGAAACAACTCTCAACAAACAACTACTCAGATGCCCCCAGGTGACAAATGAGGTGGCATCTCTTAGACTATTCTGATAACAGAATTTGAAGCTGGCACGGGAAGCAAGGCAGAAAAGAGCATTCTGTTAAAGAGAATAAAGAAAACCTGGTCACCTGTACACATATGTCTTCACTCTGGACCCAATCTAGGAACCACACTCTGGTTTTCATTTTCCTCAGTCTGTATCCACAAAAATACAATTAAATAAGATGTCTCTAAGCAGAGATCTTGATCTCATCATCTTAAATTGGTGAATCTGACCAGGAACATTTATCACTCAATCCCACTGTTTTTTCTTGTCAGAAGAACTGCCATTATCATTACCTCTGAGGACGCAAGCGATATTTAAGTGATAGCCACTTACCAGGGGGAATGTTCCAGCCACAATTAGCTTCCCATTATGATATCCATCCCCGTTTTTGTATGCAATTATTTTCACTGCCTTCTGGTGTATGGCTGCCGTGCCCCTGTGAGACGCAGCTTGCACGCAGGTCTCCATCCGTAAAGATGATAGACGTGCTTCATAATAACTTAGAGTTTTCTCAGCCGCATCAGATGATAAGTCAGCCTGATTCATTTTTAAAAAATGTACATTTACTCAAACTATTTTTCTTTTAGTTCCTATATTTTGGTACACTTCCATCCCTTAATTTAACAAATGTGTGTGTGCCTGACGTCTACATTTTACAATGCTCACTTCTTATGCTATAGTGGGAAGGATACATGTGGATCAGAATTCCTCAGTTCTCTTTCTAGATCTGGGTCGCTAGGTAATTTGGGGGCATCTGCCTTGTGTTTCAGGAATGTTTTTGGTTTCGATTGTTTGTTTGGGGGGGGTTGTTTTGTTTGGCTCTCCTTTGCTATAGAAATTGGGGAAGAAGGATACCAGGGCCACTCACGTGACAGACAGACTCTGAATTTTTAAGTGCAGGATGATGTCATCCCATGGTAGAAGATGTTGATGGAGGAGGAGGGGAATGAGTATAGCCTTGCCGCATGCTAATGAGGGTGGTGAACACCTCTCTTCAGCTTTCCCTTTCCATCCCTACCTAGAGTCCTGCCCCAAGGGCAAAACTCGATCTGTCTGAGAAGCCCTAACACTGGGATTCTTGCCAATTAGCTCCCCACCACTATCTCACTGTCTTTAAAGCAAAGTGACATGCCTTCAGGCTTCCCTGAGGACTGACCTCCTCTCTCCTTCAGAGACATTGTTTCAGTTGATGTTTATTGCAACCTGCTACTACCCTCCTCCCCACAACCAGGTGTATCAGAATTAGGGGAAAGGAAGCCCTGAAGAGCATACCAAGACTGAAGGTTCCTCAACTTTTAGGAATCACTTCTTCTTTAAAATTCAAGTATATAAGATAACTTACCTCTTTTCAGTTCTAAATTTGAAGGGAAGGATATTTTAGTGGTGCCATTTTAAATTAAGGTCACAGGAAAGTGACAAGAGTTTTCTCTCCGTGAGCTCTAAATGATATTAGACATGGATGTGTGAATTCAGGCACACAACCCAAACAGTCATTAACAACAACATGTCAAATTCCCCTTGAAATGTTACCTACTAGTAAAAAGGAGTTTATTCTGTGAATATAGGCAAAAGAGCTGCTACATGAAGATTTGCAGTTACCTCTTCACCTAAAAGCAACACTGAGCACAGTGAAAGGTGTCAGTAGATGATTAAAGTGGCAGAAATGTCCAATTAACTTCAAAGGGTATATCGAACTATTAATAGACAATGTATTTTAAATTACAATGGGAAGAAGGAAATCAATGCAGGTAGAACGATAAAGGTGCATCTGAGGAAGATGAATTGGATGAGTGGAGACCAACTTGAGTGCAAGGCAGATAATGAATGCATCAAAGTTTCCAAATTGTTGGCACAGGTGCATTAGCGGACCTCAGATCGTTACACACCTCAGCCACACTGATGACCTTGAATGGCCCTCGTGAGAAGGGCTTCTGAGCCTTGGAGCTGGAAGCACAAAAGAATGGAACCCCCGGAGGCAATGGTTTTAGCCCCTTCTCTGCTCTTCTGGCTCGTCCACAAGCCAAGCAGAGCGTCATTTTTCTCTTCCCACTAGGTGAGAGATAATAGTATCCCTGAAAGGGGAGACAAACATGCTTTTCTATAGGTGCATCTAAATTGTGATAGCATTTCTATAAAGCACTTCACAACATAATATAAACAGACCACTTTTATCATCCCCAAATGCTAAGTTTGAAATCTCAACATAAAGGCATTATTCTTCTCCCTAATAATTATATTTTTTTAAGAAGTATTTCCAAATTCCATAATAATAATTCAACACAAATGACCATAACCTGTGTCAAAAATCAGAGTTTTTTTAAAAGGAATTGGTAGTTTCAGATTTGGGGCAAGAAGTATATAAGATTAAAAAAAGGCAGAGGGGGCATTTTTTTGTATCTGGAAAGAAAAGAAGCCGCAGAAGAGTTAAGGAATCATGCCGAAAAAAAACACAGGAGCCAACGTGAAGCAGCCCCCACTCAGCCAAAGTGGGACAATTTGGGAAAACAAAAAAATAACTGAAACAATGTGAGTATGAAAAATGTATAAAGTCCTATGAGTGTATAATGATGTTAACAACAGAACCCAAACAAACAAAAACAAAAGTACAACTCACTGCAGACCACTGGAAGTAAACTGGCGCCAAGTCTTAACTCTAAAAACTGCCAGTAGGAGGTGTGGCAGATAATAAGAAATAGGGTTTCTTTCTCCTTTTTCTTCTTTCCCTGAATCTGGGCAAAGACATGTGAATTGCTTTGGCCAACATAACACTAGCAAATACATAAGAAGTGCTTGCATATTGACGCTTGTTCACTTTTGGCTAAAATTAGAACCTTGAGACCCAAAGATGAACAAACTTGAGCTAGCCCACTTGAGAAGCCATGCTGTTGAAGAACCTGGGTCCCAGTGAACAGCCCACCAAGCACCAGACACGTGAGGGGGGCCATCTTTGAGTATCCAGTCCCCAGAGAACCATCAAAACTACTGAAGAACCACCCCATGGCTGCAGCCACATCAGTAAACTGTAGCAAGACCAGCTTCTGCCCAGCTGAGTGAGCCCAGCCCAAATGGCTGGTCCACAAAACAAGAAAAACGATTGCTGGTTTAAGCCACTACTTTTTCAGGTGGTTTGTTATACGAGAAAGATTTTAGAAAGAAGTAAGCATTTATCCTACCTTCCCTTACTAACCAGATTCTGGGGTATCAAATTACCGCCTTATATTGAAAGTTTAATAAATGTAGGGGAAAATGATAGAATTGGACAAAATTGACCTTTTTGAAACAAAAGGGCAACCTTAAATGGAACGTCATTGTAGATTTTTAATATAGGATCAGGTTACAATTGCCAGAACCCATTGATATGAATAACTATTATCACAGAAATGAGAAACTCAGATGTAGACTGTGTAAGTGATAAATAGGAAACATGCAGGAAAACCTGTGAAGATTCTGGCTAAAAAAGGTTAAGCCTAATTACAACTCTCAGGCTTAAGTTCATTTACAGGAATTGCGGAGGATAAAGAAACAAGTCACGGGATGCCACGAGGAAAGAAACAAATGGAATGGAGCCAGATTATGCAACCCAGTGTCACATGGGGACCTTATTTGAATCTTGACTCAAACCAACACACCATAACAAGAATTTTTAGGACAACCTGGAAAATATGATTAAGGATAGGGAATTAGATGGCCAAAAAATTATTGTTAATTTTGTTCGTTGTGAGAATAGCATGATAATTACGTGAGAAAACATCCACATTTCTTGAAAAGTGTGTACTTAATGTAGAGGTGCTATTATATCGTGTCTACACAGCTGGCAAATGTGGCAAAGACCTTGATCATAGTTGAGTCTGGGATGATGAGTAAAGGAAGACTTTATGTACTAATCTCTCTTGAAATGTGTATGAAATTTCTAAAATAAAAATTTAAAGAAATTTTATATCAACTATCTAATTTTTTTTCTACTCACAATTTTTCTTCATTCTTTCCTAACCAGAATCACAGAGTCTAAGTGGTGTCATTCAAATACCGTCACTCAACTTACATGAACACAAAGTTTTCCAAGGGGAAAAAAAAGTTTCTTGCTTTATGAAGTGACCCTATTTCAGCCTTTTATCTTCCAGAAGGAACCACTTACTGGTTGGTCAATGTTCTCTTCTTTAATCACAGATGATGTACAAACACCAGCATAATTTGCTGAGGTAACTTCCCTATTCAAGGCAGTGCTATGAAAGGCCACAAATGCTTTCATGTTTTCCATGTAATGCCATTTTTGGTTGGCAGTCCCATTGTTACATGGGTTATATTTCTGAAAGAAAGCAGCAAAAGATGAAATCAAATCGACAAGTTCATAAGATGGTTATAGCAGTCAAACTTTTCCTTGCACAAATCCAGAAAGTGCAGATAATTAGTCATAATCCAACTGTGCAATGATAACTACTGTTTGATATTTTGGTGATTATATTCATAATCTTTTTGTATATATAAATAATTATTTGTATGTATATATAATTAATTGATTTATAAAAATAGAACCATAAAATACACACAATTTGGTATTGCATTGTTTTCCTTAACAATATTCCATGAACATTTTCTTAATCTCTGTTAAACACGTATGTATGATTTCATTTTAGAAATATTTTATTTTACTAATCTTCAATAGTTAAACATGCAGGTTGTTTCTTCAAATTTCCTTATAATTAAAAAAAAAAGCAATACATAATAGTGAAAAGAAATCTTTGGGTAAACCTATGATAATTTCTTTAGGACAAATTTCTAGAAGTATAATTGGTGATGTGTAGTAAAATAAAACCATTTTTAAAGATTATGATATATCAAAATGTTTTTGGTTTTTTTTTTTTAAAGATACACTGTCTCACTCTGTCACCTAGGAGGCTGGAGTGCAGTAGCACATAGCTCACTATAGCCTCCAACTCCTGGCTTGAGTGATCTTCCAGCCTCAGCCTCCCAAGTAGCTGAGACTACAGTAAATTGCCACCATACGTACCTAATTTTTTGTCAGTCTCACTGTGTGGCCCTGGCTGATCTAGAACTCCTGGCCTCCACCTCAACCTTCCAAAGTGATAGGATTACAGCCATGTTTGACCTAATAATGCTTTGTAGAGAGATTATTTTACTTTATATTTTCACCCAAAGTATATGAAATAACCCATTTTCCTTACACTCTTGCCAAAAAAAGGTCAACTCCCCAAGCACCAATTTAATAAATGTAAAAAATAGTACCTTGTTGATATTTTAATTTACATTTTGCTTATTATCAGGGAGATTTATTTTTCAAATAAGTACATTCAGGTGACTATTTAACAAAAATAGTATATTTATTCTAATTATAAAATTTGACTCCCCATGATTGCATTAATGTACACAGTTCTGCTACAAGGAATAATAAAGGAAATTTGAATGGGAAAAAAAATTTAAAAAAATAAAATTTGACTCAAGTATAAATAAAGAAATAATTTCAAGTTAACAAAACCTGTATCAGTAGATTAGTTCTAACTAAACATATCATAACACCTCAAGGAACTTTATAATTATTAACACCTACTTTATCAAGAAGAGATTAATAGCAAGGAAGAAAATAAATGAGTCTCAAGGATTGATTTAGTGGGTCAGACAACAAAGCCTCCCTCAGCGGTCTGGAAAACCATAGACTGTATTTTCAAAGAGCAGGAAAGGATCTAGTAGCATTAACTTACCATGCTTCATTTTTAGTATTCTACATGAACTTAAATCTTTCCTCAAGAACTGACTGCTTCAATAAATAAAAATGAAACACCAGCAAAGAAAAAAAATCTTGAACTGTAATCCAAATTACCCTGGGCTCAAATTTATTTCTCATGAAACAGGAACCTTAGGGGAGAACATCTATAATTTTATAAAACTGATTAAGGTGTTAAATTCTTGTATGTATGAGGTTTTATCTCACAGTGGTCTGTGTGGAAGAGGCACCTGACAGAGAGGGATGTAATTTTACGTACTCTATGTTTCCTAGAATAAATTTTAAGTCCATGTTTATCATCAGGATAGAACTTAATTAAGCTTTGGTATCTGTCCAGAGTGCTATGTCTCACTTTGGATTCAGGTCCTGCAAGTTACCTCATTGTTATTAGAAACATAGAATAAAGCAAATGTTATTTGGAGATAATATATTTTGTTTAACAAAGGCTGGAATATACTGTGGAGGACACAGAAGGTAAACTTGAGCATGAATGCTCCTAAACCTTCTCTCCTACCCATAAGGAAAAACCACATATTCATTTAGGAGTGTTTTGGGTTATAAGTAAGAGAAAATGACAAAAAAACATTCTAGGTCTTTGTCCAAAACTCAGATGAAGTCAGATATCCCTGGAATATTCAAAAATTGTTTGGCCACTATAAGTGTTTGCAAGAGTGTATTAAAAGAGCATTTCAAATGGGCTGCTTAATAGAATGAACACTGATAAGATCAGGTCCTTTAGGAAGACCTCCCTGACCACTTCTCACTACAGTTGTCAGGCAAAGGGGGCCTGACATATATTCCCAGTGGTGGAATTTAGGTGAGTGTAAGAGTCATTCACCTGACTGCACCCACCACTGACATTAAAAGCTTTGTGAATGTTGTTGGGACAATTTCTCATGTTTGCTGTTGGATTTGATTTCAGTAACTAGCATAATGCCTGACATGTAGCGAGCCTACAGTTACCATCTGTTGGATTAAAACTAAATTAAGAGGTACACGAACATGTTCAAATTGAAATCCAGGAGGACTATTGTAAATATTGTAACAATGACATGCAAAATAGGATTCTATGACAACTACTTTTTCTCTACAACAAGGAAGCATAAAGCTTTACTTAAATTTTATGAAAGGTCCATGATTAATCATTAGCCTATATCTATCTTACCTGAATAATAACTGGATAGCCACAGTCTTCATTTCTAGCCTTGGTCATAGACACTGCCAGCACAAGATCAGGGTTACTCACCAGGTGAAAGGTCCTTGGGAAAACAGGATTAGTCACATTACAAAGCAGCATGACCAGATTAGATCTCCCTCTTGCCACTTATCAGTGTGTTGCCTCTTGGCTCCATTACATGTTCTGCAATAGATGTGAATCCTTTAAGAACTTCTCTCCTACGGTAAGTGTGATGCTAAGCTTTCTCAGTAGAGAGTGCTGGAAGATGGGAGGAAGAAGGGGCTCTCCTGCTCTTTCTGGCTGTGGCATGGCCAACTGTTGGAAGTGAGAATATCCAGTGATGCTCTGCTCCAACCAGGTTCCCGGAATGTAGGTCTTACAGCAGCCTCACAGCCCCGGCTGCCTGTGATCATCTGCTCACTTCCCTCTCTAAACGGATACTCCATGCTTCAGACCTCTTGCTATATCAGTGACCCTAATCCCCTTATATGCTGGTGTGCCCAGCAACCAGCTGCACCCTCATGTACATTCCAGAGGATTGCTTCCTGCTTGCCCAGTGCTATGGTTTGAGTGGCCCCTCCAAAACTCATGTTGCAACTTAATCCCCAATGTGGTAGCACTGAAAGGTGGGGCCTTTAAAGGATGATTGGATCATAAGGACAGAGCCCCCATGAACTAATTAATCCATTCATGGATTAAAGGGTTACTGGGTTTAAATGGGAATGCAACTTTGGTGGCTTTATCAGAAGAAGAAAGGCTTGAGAACAGCATGTTAGCAAGCTCAGCCCCTTTACCATGTGATCACCTGTGCTGCCTCAGAACTCTGCAGAGAGTCCCCACCAGCAAGCACTAAGGCTCTACTAGATGTACCCCTCAACCTTGAACTTCACAGACTCTAGAATTATAAGAAATAAATTCTATTTCTTCTAAATTATCCAGTTTCAAGTATTCTGTTATAAGCAACAGAAAACAGACTAAGATACCCAGTAACCACAGACCAGCCCTGGCCAGGAACACCAGCAAAATTTCTCTGTCATCCAATAGGACAGAACCATACCTATTCCAAGGAATTCTGAACCCCAGCCTTCGGGAGGGACCCCAATCTCAAGTTTGTCCTTTCATGGGTTCTCTCCCTCAGCCCTAGGATAATATATATCATATACACTATATATTGCAGGAGTCCTCAAACTTTTTAAACAGGAGGCCAGTTCACTGTCCCTCAGACTGTTGGAGGGCCAGACTGCAGGCCTCGGGATGAGTCAGCTGCTAAGCAGGATGGGCAGCAGTGGCAAAAACACCTGGCAGGCCAAGTAAATGTCTTCGGTGGGCTGCTTGTGGCCTGTGGGCCATAGTTTGAGGATGCCTGAATTGTATATAGTACATTGTACTATATATTGTACATGACATACATATAATATATATATAATATTATACTATATTAGACATATAATATATAATGTATATATGTAATATAACCACCTGGGCTAATATGGAAGAAAAAAAGATTGGTTAACACCAACAGAATTTTCTACAGATTTCTACCCAAGGTTCTTCAGGCCTCATCAGCTTATTGGAACAAATGAATTTTAAAATCTGTTTCTGTGACATAGAACAAAGCAATATGCTAAGGGAAAATGTGGAAGAAAGCTCTGAATTACTGTCACTAAACAAAGACACTTTTACCAGGGGACGGGTATGGCTCTGAATCATGCCCACATCTACTCCATAAGACTTCTGTAAAACCTCCCCTGTCCAGGCGTTTCTGGGTCTTCCTAGCAGGTGACTCACGCTCGTGAGAAAATCCTGTCCTGCTAGGCCCCCATTACTCCACTCTCTCTGGATTCTGAAGTTTCCAATTAGAGATTAGTCAATACCACCAACTGCCCCTCTATTCTGTGGCTTGACATGCGGAGGCCTCGAGATGAAAAAATTGCCGTATGTTCTGGAAAGTGGGAGGAGATTGGAAGAAACCGTCCTTCCTTTCGTGTATACACGTGGTTCAATTACTCAAGGCAGTGCTGTTCATGGTACGATATCTCACAGTGTTTTAGGAAAACTCTTCTGTTTTTCTTTAAACAGCTTTCCCTCCCTCCTGCTCCCTTCTCAGCAGGTGGAATGAAAGCCCAAACTGCTGGCAGACATGGGGCTCAGAACTAGCCCTCCCTCCTAACCACGCACTCTACTGCCGTCAAACTCACTGCTCACGGCTTTTTCTTGGTGTAGGGTCACATCTCTCACCCTCATGTGTATCCACCTGAATTCATTAGCCATGCTCAAATTCCAATTTAGGCTTGCATGGGGACGTCTACTATGTAACGCAGAAAGCCAGGGCAGAAAGATATGTTATTAAGTAAAATGTAGAGATGGGGTAGAACTAGGATATCAGCTCCATACGGGTGAGGTTTTTCTTCTGTTTTGTTCTTTGTTGAAACACTCTCAATAACCCTCTGCGCTGATTGAATGAATGAATTCTGGTCCCATGTGGCAAACCATTCACAGAAACAAAAGTCTGCTGTCCTTGCTCTGTGTTGTGAAGGCAGCTTAGCCCGGGGGAATGGGACAAAGGGACACTATCACCCACTTTGTCTACATAGTTGGTTTTCCAGCCTTCCCTAAAGCTGCTCAGCAAGTGTTCCTGCCTTGTAGCTCTGCTCATCTGAGGGAGCGGAGTAAAACTAGCTCCTCACCTGTCCATGCTGGGCCCGCTGCTGCCACCTGCTGAAGCTTATGCAATCTCTCTTAAAGCACTGATTTGATTTATAAGCCTTTTGCACTGTAGACTTTTTAAGAATCCAATGAAAATCATAGCTCTTCCCCAGCAAAAAAAAAAAAAAAAAATTGCACAGATGTCCAAATATACAGTTTGTACACGTATTTCAAGAGATTTAAGAGGCCTCTGGAGCCTCACCATACAATGGTAGAATGGTAGAATTTGAAGCAAGCCAATCTAAAACTAGGGAATTATGTTTTCTTTCTTGTTAAAGAAATATTCACATGTGCACAGAAACAAGGAGAAATGGATACTACACCTTCGTGGACCTAACAACTGTCAACATTCTACCATTCTTGTTTCATCCATTCCCCTCCACTTTCTACATTTCTGACTTTTGATAGCTAAGAGATCTCAATTTTATTTGCAAATACTTGTAATACATATCCAATTAACTGATCATGACTTTTCTTGATTTTAACATAACCATTAAAGCATTATTATACCCAACAAACTTAACAAGCCCTCTTTGCTCTATAGGGATCATGCCAAACTCCTTGGGCTCCTATTCACCTTTTGATATAACCCCAAATATAATGGAATTACCTGCTGTCTTTCTTATGTACCCAGAGTTGATGACTACCATCAGATTTCTTCTCCACTAAAACCACTTCCATGCCTGTCCGGAGGCTGGGACCTTGTATCCCTAAGACCAGCTGAGGAAAAGCGCAGCTTATAATTTGTCCGTCTTTGTATTCAAACTGCTGACGGCAAAGCTTCTGCAATTTACCATGCGTTGGTGAATGGCTAAGATAAAACAACAACAACAACAACAAAAACCTCCATTAGTAGCAGGAAAACACCTCATGCACTAGATGTGCCAGAGATTGTAAGTCCCATTGGTGAGAGCTCCACTATGAACCATGTTAACTTGCAATAGTAACCTTATCACCAGAACAATAGCCATGCTATTAGTCTTATATTCTCTCATATGGAAAGTAGTTCTGAGTTTATTTTGTAACAGAATTATTTGTTTATCCAGAAGAACATTTGGTGCATTCATCAGCAAAGAGAGAAAAAAGTTCAGTTGAGGAATTAATTTAGGTATACAGGAAAAAGTAAAATTCAAGAAAGAAGTAAGACAGGCGAGGGGGCATGTAGAATAAAAACAGAGAAATAAAAGTATACTGTTCAGCCTATAATTATTAGCCTCTATCTATTTAATCCCTGGAAAGAGAACATTATTTTGCAAATTTTTCATGAAAAATTCATAGAATATCCAAAAGAACACAATAATATGTTAATAAGTTAACTTAAAGGACTCTCTTACTTGAGGACCTTAAGGCACTATGCAGACTTATTAAACACATTTTATATCACAATGTATTGACAATTAAATTAGTCTATAAACATCTGTTAAACTCCTACTATGTGCATAGTCTATGCCAAATGTTGAAGTGCCAAAACCATGCACGTAATTCACATGTTCCATTAACTGCTTCAATGTTAAGTAAATGTCTAAAGATTATGTAATAATACAAAGTACTATAGATTCCTGTCATTTCCTTGGCCCTTGATCAAAAAGATTCAATTAAAAAGAAAGAAATTTTACTGATTTCTTAAAGACATCAGGCATCAATTTTAATGTGTTTATTCATAAGTTCACTCACATTCATTCAACAGTTATTTAGGTTCTGTGCTAAGGTCTTAGGAGGGAAAAGCAGAAAAGCCCACCACTTAGTTGTAGAAAAGGCACACCAAGGAACGAGAAATTATATTTTGCTACACAGAATAACCCAAAGAGGAAAGAACCTTCCCACAACATTTTTCAAATACTTTATAATCAAAAACATAAGATAAAAATGTGCGTGTTGATAGAAAGAGCAGCTAATAGCAATAAAAATACCCAGGAATATGCCTGTGTCAAGTTGAGAGAATCTAAGGCCAGGCAGAATTTTCTAACAGTTCCTTTGCAACTTTTTACCTGCGTTTCTTCTGTGGTTGCACATTTTCAAAGAGCTCTCTTTCCATTTTATTTGGAAGACTGTCATCCTCATCAAAGTCATGCAAAGGTTCCTGCCACGCATACCTGAGATGTGTGTGACAAGCCTTCATTCGGAGATGGGCTCTTGCATGTGAATCTCTATCAAGGATCAGAGGCAAATCCAAGTCTAAGAATTCTGATTTGTGTTCACAGGATTTTTTCTGAGCTGTAGACTGTTCATATCCTACAGAATATTAGTAGATCTAGAAATCACACTTCCATAAGGGTGCCTAATATTCAAAGTGCACATCTTACTAATATGCCATTTAGATCTTTTAGTCTAAGATTCCAAAGAAAATTCCTTTATCATATAACAAACAGCATTGATCTTTGTGATATTTACTCGGAAAAAAATGGGGCCGTATTTAAAAAATCATAAAGATTAAGACTACCTAGTAGTTTAAGAAATTCATAATGAACATGTAATGAGGTTCCTTCTGCCTGCCCTTTAAGTAGGTCATAATTCTGTCTGGAACAGCATAGCCTAGATTACTGGGTTTCATAAAGTTTACTCATTAGACAATGTGAAGAAATCTTTATTTAGATTTTCCTCTCAACAGAGAAATCCAGAGAGATTTAGAATTTGCACATATGTGCCAGTTTTTGATAGGGAATAATATACTAAAACACTTAAATAGTCATAGTTTGAATAACTGAGCCAGCTGTCAATGGGAACTAAACCACTGTGCAGAACTGTATACATAAAGTCCCAGGTCACTGTTTACAGCACATTTGCCTTCAGTAAAATATGAGGACTGCTCAGCTGAGGTCAAGATAAATATTCAGGCAAAGCAGGAAGCGTATTTCAACATTCTAAATAAGCATACATGCAAATAAAGTTCTCTGGGCCAGACTGTGATCACCAAGTGCTTATAACAATTTGATGTAACTGCAAGCATTATCAAGTTACCAACGTCTTCAGGGACAGTTTCTGGGCTAGTAGAGCTGACTGTGCACTTTTAAAATGTAATGCAAGGATTACATGTAGATATAAAACTGGCCTGTAATAACTGCCTCATTCAGAAGCACACGCAGCACAAGTGACTTCTCAAATCAAAAATCTCCTTAACGGTTAAAAAACAACACTGCCATCTTGTGTTAAAAATAAAGAACACAGCTTCCTCACTCCATTTCTTTGAAGAGGAAAAAAAGTCATTCTTAGTTTTAACAAAGTTAGCAAGGTGTTCATCACCCAAATCCAGATGTTTAATTTTCTTTCTTGGAATGTAGCTATCAGCTATTGAGTTTCCTGGCAAATAAAGTATAGTCAAGTCAATTTTAGAACTGCTATTTTGAAATCCATCTTGTTTTGTTAATTTATTCATTTGTTCGTTCATTCATCCATGGAATAAACCTTCATTAGTTACTCATTCCTTTAACCAAGATTTATTAAGCATCTATTATATTATAAGCACAGAATTCTAAGTGTTAGGAATATAGCAATGAATGAAATTGGTAAGTTCTTAGAAAGATAATAGATAGGCGAGTGAGTAAATACATAAATACATACATAAATAAATAAATAAGATAAATAAATAAAATAAATGCCATAAATAAAACAGAGTAATGGAAATTGACTGGGGTGAGGTGAGGTCTACTTTAGCAGTGGACTCAGAGAAAATTATTCTGAGAGATGATATTTGAATTAACACCTAGAGAATGAGAAGGACTCGACCATATGAGGATCTAGCGCAATGGTTTTCAACCTTCCTAATGCCACAGCCCTGTAACATAGTTCCTGTGGGTCACCACCCACAAGTTGAGAACTGCTGATCTGGAGCAATCCAGGGAGAGGAAAAAAACAAATAGAAAGACTGTACCAAAAGTACATTTCCCTGCCTGGGTGCAGTGGCTCATGCCTATAATCCTAGCACTCTGGGATGCTGAGGCAGGTGGACTGCCTGAGATCAAGGGTTCAAGATAAGCCTGAGTAAGAGTGAGACCTTATCTCTACTAAAAATAGGAAAAGAAAAAAAATAGCTGAGTGTTTTGGCAGGCGCCTGTAGTTGCAGCTACTCAGGAGGCTGAGACACAAGCTCAAGAATGTGAGGTTGCTGTGAGCTATGATACCATAGCACTCCAGCCAGAGCACAGAGTGAGACTCTATCTCAACAAAACAAAACATTTTCTCCATTTGACGAACAGAACAGAAAGACACTGGTTTGACGGGTATTCAGTGAGGGAGGGAAAGGTATTACTAATCAAGGCCTGGGGGTAGACAGGGTACCTGTAATTTGGTGAGAAATTGAGAAAGTCTCCCTGAGGTTAAATGTTCTAAAAGTCTTTTTTTTTTTTTTTTCCATGAAGCATAAAAATGGGAGGCTAGTGATCCCAGAGTTTCTCATTTTGCCTTTTACTGGTTTTACTGGACATCATTCCTATCAAAAAGCAATCAAAAAGGGTCCTTCTCGATTTATGTTCTACCCTCTTGTTTTATAGATGTCCCTCCTCAAATAGTCCCAATTCTCAAAAATGGGAAAACCTCCAAACAAGTGTTTTTAAGAAAGTCTGGGAAATTTTTGTGACTTTCTAATATCAGATGATTTAGGACTATGTCATCAGAAATGGTTTAAAGAAGTAGTGAAAGTTGTCCTGGAAATGAGACAAACCAGCGTACTAACAAATATTTCAAACGTTTTAAGAACTGTCAAGTGGAAGAGGAATAGGGCATAGTACAGAAAATTAGATGAAATCACAGGATGGAGATATCCTAAAGAATTAGTTATTTAAACATCAGAAGGGCTGGAGTATTTAAGAAGAGATTGGAGCAAAAGTACCTCCTTAGAATGTGCAAGAGATACCTGTATTGTTTGCTGAGTGGATGCAATTACTTTTACTTTAAGGACTCCAGGCTTGGATGAGATCTATAAGTCAGAACAATGAGAACCTTTGCTCTCAAAAATGTTTCTTTTTTCTTACTTTGTGTTTATTTTTTTTCCCAAGTGCAGACTAAATAACTCAGAGGCTAGATGATACACTTCTTCAGAAGTGGATGTTAGGAAGCTTTGTGGTTAATTTCCTAACTGCTGAGAAAGATACCATCGAGGATAAATCATTCTCTCTGAAAAATACTTCTGCTACCTTTGTTAGCATCAGATCCCAGGACCAGATGAATCACCCACCAAAATGAGGAAGTTTGGTTCTGAAAATGTTAAGTTCATATTCTTATGTCTCAGATGACTGAAGATGGAAATAGTTTGTAACAAGGATATGTAAATTATTTTTCATAATTACTGCAATGGTAATTGACCAAGTACTTTTGGTTTTATAACTTGGAAACTCATTTATGAGTTGGACTGATTAAAGCCAGTTATTACGCACATGCCAGTGCACCTGGGGCAGAGTCCTTGCCTTCAATAGGTTGAGTTCCCAGGTTGGGGACAGGGGGCATTGCTACAGTCATTGATGTAATTGACTTCAGTGATGAAGAGTTATTCTACAGATAAGTACAGGGCAAGTAAAGGTACTTCAGGTAGAGAGAGAAATTAATATGTGAGTCAGAGGTCTGCAACAGAATGTAAATGGAATGTGCCAAAAGCAGGAGGCAATCTGTAGTTTGCTGAGTGGAGCTTGGAGTTCATGTGGCAGGAAGAAAACGTGGGCGTTCAGGCAGAGGTGTGCACATGAAGGTCAATGACAGGCACGGATGAGGGTCAGAGAGTTTGGGATTCCAGACTAACAATTTTTTTCTGTCTGCATTATGTGGCCATTGAAAATCTGTATGAAAAGGATTGCATCTTAGAAAAATAACTGTCCATGGTTGGAACTTAGAGGTGGATTGCAAGGAAGATATTAAGGACATAGAAACAAATTCAGAAAGTTATTTCAATGATCCAGAAAGATGACTGTATATTAACCTGCATCTCATTTGAACCACTTTAGGGAAGAAACTTAATTGTTACTAAAGTCAATGTTTAAGGGAACAAAGCATGATAAATTCCTTAAATAAATATCTACAATTCTAAGATTATAGTCTTTTAAATTAGTAACATTATAACAATATAACTGAAAGTAGATTAATGTAATGGTAAAATACTGAAGCCCCAGTTCTATCCTTTTGTCAGAAAACTAATTAAATGCGATCTCTTCACCTGCCATCAGTTTCACAAACGTGGCATGGGTTCCCTGCGTGGGCTCTGTGCTGTTATCAAGCTAATGAGCTGAGTTCAGAAAGCAGCCAGGTAGTTTTTCTGGCTATACTGATTACTTACAGAATTTCGCTGGAAGCATTTTCTGTTATTAAAGCATCTTTTGGCATTTGCTTTTCTTCTTCTTCTATAACTTGTTTCTCTTCTCCAAAAATTGCCATAGGTTTCTGCACAGTAAGCTTGCCTCCAGACACAATGTCACTCCGGACTTCTAAAACAAGAGCTGAGCAGAAATGCATAAATTGCAAGGACATGCTAGTTACAATCACAGAATAGCAGGAACTTCAAAACACATGCTAAAATACAAATGCAACATTTCCAGCTCTTTAGTCTATTCATAGGTTGTTCTTTGAATTCATAATTTGGATTTAATTTTATCTAATTTTTGTAGGCTCTTTTCTCTTAAGACATTCTTAGTCAAAAATGCTAAAAATAGGTCTTTCCAAAAATAAGCTAATTATGTTAGATTCTAACTTTTCAAATGGGCTACATTATTCAGATTTATTTTCTAGTTCTCTGGGATCCAAACTTCTCCATAAAAGTTCCAATGATTTAAAAGACACATGCAAACCTCCACTGTTTGATATAGGTTATAGGGTAATGTTTTAAATTATACATATTTTTTCTCTTTTCCTTTTCTCTGTATAGGACCTATGTCCTGGTTCCTGGGTAGTCTTAAATAAGGAAAAAGGAGTATCATGAGAAAATTAGGAAGGTTAGAAAAGGAAGCAATGGTTCAAAGATAGTTTTTGACATTTGAACAGCATAGGACATTACCATGCAACTGAGGATGGGACAGACATGAACCATGAGTCTGCAGCTTCCATATCAAAGGTTTAACTTCAGGCTTGACCCAACATTTCTGGGCCAGGCAGCATTTGCAGAAGAAGACAGAGCAAGCCAGAAAACCAGCACAGGGTCTCCTGATTTACCCCATGGGCTTCACTTTGGGTATCTTAGTTAAAAACCAAGGAAATGCTAAGGACACTGCTCATTGTACAGGATGTTGGAAAAAAGTCACCTCTCAAGCCATCCCTGCTACTCTAATGTGAGCCACAGCTACATGAACCTGGGTCTCATTTCTGGGAGGTACAGCAATGACCCAGGATTTGCTGGGAGTCTTGCTAAGGAAGTGGCTGCCAAGCAGAAGTGAAATGGCTCTGTAGCAAGGACTGCGCAGATGATCACTTAGTCACAGCCAGGCTTCCGAGAGCCAGAGGGAACGGAGGGGAGGCTGAGTTAGGCAGGAAGTATCACTTGCCCAGGGCATTGTCAGGGCCAAAAGAATGAAACACAAGTCACCCCAGCCCTAGATTTTAGCCAGCAGAGCTGAAGTAGCAAGAGGATCTGCATCCCAAGTGCTTTTTCTCCCTCCCAGAGAGGAGCTAAAGTGGTCTGGAGACGAAGACATCAGAAAGTTCTCCTTACAGAATAATTAAATTAATACGTAGGGTAAAATTTGAGCCCAGTGGACATTTAATTTCTTTTCCTTGGTAAGAATGCACAAGGCTCACAAAGACAGGCTGGATCTGTATAAACAAAATAAAGAAATTATGTCTTCTTTGTACATCCAAATTATAGTGTGAACTAAATTATGCAACCTATTGAATATATTAGCATAAAGATCTAAACAGTAAGATGCAGAGGTGAAATATGACCTGTTTAAACAAACCTGGATTTTTTTTTTAAAGCAGTATCCTTAAGCATTTTCTTTTGACTGCATATATTGCATATATGAACATAATGCTTACCTTCTATCTTATGTGTGCTGCAGAAGGTTCGAATTTTGGAAATATCTGATGCAAGGTTCCTCAGGAAGACGTGTTTCTTTTGCTGGGCAGTGGACAGGTCAGGATTGATCCAATGTTCTCCGCAAGAAACATACACCTATCAAAGAAAAGAGTCCTGATCCCGTATATAATTGTTCACAGAAACATTATTTGTCATAGACAAAACTGGAAACAATCAACATGTCTTACAATAGGTGAATGATGAAAGACACCATGGAATGCTACTTAGTGAAAAAAGAAACGAACTGCTGGTAAAGGAAACAACTTTGATGAATTTCAAGGGTTTTGTACTGAGTTTAAAAAGTACTTCTCTACACCATCTTTGAAACTTCCTGTGAATCTATGATTGTTTCAAAATAAAAATATTATATATATTTTTTTAAGAAAGGAGGGGAAAGAAGTTAGAAAAAAGGAAGGAAGGGAAGAGGGTGAGTATACATAATACACTGGAAAACTATAGCTAAAGCTCAGATCTGGTCTGCTGCCTGTTTTTATAACTAAAGTTTTATTGGAACACAGCCACGCCCATTCATTTACATGTCGTCCATGGTGACGTTCATTCTACAGTAGCAGTTGATGTTTCAATAGGAACCACATGGTCCACAAACCCTGAAATATCTATTATCTGACCCTTTACAGAAAAGTTTAATGATGCTTAGTATAAATGAACCTGTAATTACAGTGGTTCTCAACCTGTGGGTCACGACCCACAGGAACTATATTAAAGGGCCACGGCATTAGGAAGGTTGAGAATTAATGTACACAGCTAACATTTAACTTAAAAAAAAAAAAGAGAGAGAACTACTGCAATACACGACACCAAAATATTAATGTGGATATTTCTATATAATAAGACTATGGATGGTACTTTTTCCTCTTTATTTTGCTTGTATGTATTTCTTAAATGTCCTTAAATGTATTAACATGTATTTTCTTAAAGATGAGGAAAAAATAGTGATATTTTAAGAAAGACTAAGTAAGAAAACAGAAAAATTCAGTGCTGCCTTGGGAAATCATTCACATTGATCATTATAAACATTCTTTGTATGAAGATCCAGGGAACATTTTCTTAAAAATTTCTTCTTAAACAACAGGCTTATTTCTCTTTTATAGACATATTTAATCATGTAACTTTTCATGTTTCTATCTTCATGTTGGCTGCTCAAGGCAGTGACAGGGTAATTTCTGGCAAATATTCAATAATTCCTGGTTCCATCTTGGCCTTCTTACACCCATACTCCCTTTGTTCTGGTGGCCTCATCTATACATATCTTTAATTCAATGTGTCTTTTTGTATTATTTTTTTAATGAAATATGCTTTAATTATTTTCAGAAAAAAACCATAGTGAATAAGCATAGCCGAACAAATAAAAACACTCCATACATTAAAAATAAACAAAAAACTGGGGAGTGATAGCATCAGGATTCAAAATAAGGTCTACTGGCCTCCAACAGACTGTCCGCCCACATACTGTCTCTCACAGTGGTCATTGATACTTTGGCTTAAGACTTTCTCAGGAGGTCTTATTGTTCAGAGCCTAAGTCAAGATCTGATAATATAGTGCAAGCTTTGTTCTCTGTTCAAAGATTTTTAGGTATCAGTCGAGGCAGATTTTTTTTGTTTGTTTTATTTTGTTTTAAATTTTTTTAGGTTGGTGCCTCAGATTTCATAAATGGGAGAAAAGGCTGGGTCACAGAAGTCCTTCCTTTCTCAGCCTTGTCTAGCAACCTAAATAGAGTGTGTGAAAAAATAGATCAAATTTTTTTCCTGAAAAAGCAAAATTATCATGTAGTAAGAAATCATTAAGCAACTACATTTTGAAGGTCTCAAAAAGAGTAGACTACCCCCTTCAGAGAAGGAGATAGAAATTGCAAGTGGTTAATAATTTGGCCTTCTCCAGTTTCTTCTTTAATTTATAGAGAAGGGATAATGAAAACATTCATCTCATAGGTCATGACGAACATTAAGTGGGTTAATTGATACACTGCTTTGAAAACCATGCCGGACACATGGGAAGCTTTCAACAATATTAAATATTGGTATTACTTTCTGATGGTTGCTCAGTTAGGGTAATTCTGAGAAAAAATAAGAATAAAAATGGAAAGCATCTGTAAACTTATATGTAAGGACATTTTTACTTGGGTGGTATTCATAAATTAATACTTCTAGTTCCAAATGTCTTTACCAGTTCATCTCTTTGCAGGCGTTTTAGGGTAAATATTTCCTTCCCCTTTTCATTGAACAATCTCCGAGCTGCAGAAGGTAAATTTAAAATTTCAGTGCATCTGTAAAAAGAGAAATAAAAATTGACCTTGCATACAGAAAGCTTCCAGTAGCAACTAGAGAAAATAAATCAATTGACTGGACCATTAATGACAACTCTCCTTAGGACTCTGAGACAGCCAAGAGCTGGACTCTGGAGCCCACCTGGTCCTTTTGAGTCTCGTTCTCCAAGTTGAATCACTCTGAAAAATTATTTAACCTCCCAAGCCTAAATTTCCTACCTTCCAGGATTGCTGTGGGGATTAAAGATTGATCTTTAAAAATGCTTTGCACAGCAGCAGGCATGACCAACAAACAGGTAGGCATATTACTACTGACTGTTCATTCCTTAATATGTTCCACACTTTCCCATTTCTGTGTCTGTGCTCGTATTTCTACGTAAAACACCTTCCTCAGCTTTTTCTGTTGACATTTTGATCTTTCTGCAGTGTTGTCAAAGTCGCATCTGTCGCCAAGCTCCCCACTTCCCTTCACCAGAAGTGATTTCTATAGTCCTTTAACTTCCTTAGAAACAGAAGTACGTAGCCTGGCTAAACATTAAGAATTGATTTCTCCCCTCCCCCACCCCAAACAAGCCCTGGGCAAGCCCTATGGATGTTGAGATGAATGACAGTTTCTCTGCTTCCGGAGAAGCTTCCTAACTAGTCAAGGGCAGAGACAGGTCAGCAGCTGAAGTGTGATAGGAAGGGAGTGCTGTCACAGACACCTTGCCAGGGGGCTATGAGAACACAGAGGAAAAACAAGGAGTTCCTCCAGGAGGTCTTATCTAAGGAGTGACAGTTGGGTTGGGCTTTAAAGGATAAATAGAAGTTACAAAAGGTTAGAGAGGAGCTGAGTGTCTGGACCGAAGGAGGCAACAGATAAAGCTGGAAAACAACAGGAACTAACTGAAAGCACTGAGGATCCCAGAAAGATAAACCTGGTTTCTATGCCATAAACAGCAGGAAGAGACTGGAAGAGTTAGAGCAGATGGTAGTGTGATCGGATCTGCTCTTTAAAAAGTTTACTGGCAGAAAGGTAGGAAATGGACCAAAAGTAGGAGACTAGACCCTAGAAAGCCAGTTTAGGATAGAGGCAAGGAGATATAATTGTGCGGAAGGAGAAACAGAGCTAAAGGAGAGTGATGGGGCATTTCCAAAGGTGCAATGATCCTGCCTTTGGAAGTAGGACAGTGAGTGATTCTTGCCAAATATATTTTGTGTTTGAATGTACTGCTTATAGCAAATGAATGTGAGGTTATGCTCATCAGCAAGACTCATCTATAGGAAGAATATTTCTAAATTTTATTTCCTTCAATGGAATAAAGCAATTAAGCAGATAATTAAGTCCTCCATTTCTCTGAGGGGGTCTGAGAAGAAAAGAAACCAGTGGGAACTAAGTCCCTGCTTCTCACGTCACAACTCTGGAATCTCATGGACCAGTAAGGACTGGGCCCTACTTCTCACCTGTAAGAGAACTGAGTGTCAGTCACCAGATTTGTCTGTTTCTGTTTGGGTGACACCAAAATCCTCAACCCAATTCCTTCTACGTCCCCCTACATGATATGCTTGCAGAGCTAAGCATTTATAGTGTGATCTAAGAAGAGTTACTATTGTCCTATCCGTCCACTCACATTTTCCTGGGAAGAATGTTAGGGTCATGGAGTATCCTGTTCTAGGACAGTGGATGAGAAAATAGAAGAAATAGGTGGTTGGGGGAACCCCAGTTTTAATACTAAATTTGGCTGGCACAGGTGGGTTAGAGAGTGTTGGGAAAAGCAGTTTCCTCTGTATTTAATTTCTCTCACAAGTTTACACAAAAGCCAACGTAAATGGGGAGAGAAGTGCAGAAGTTTCCTCTATATTTAGTTCCTCTCATGAGTTCACATGCTAGTGAATGTAAACTAAGAGAGAACAAAAGTATTGACTCTTAAACATCTGATGTGGAATGTGGGCTCCAGAGTCGGATTACCTCCATTCAAATTCTAGCCCTCTCATATAATGGCTGTATACCCTGGAAAAGTTATTTAACTTCTCTGAGTTTCCTTTGTCCCATCAATAAAAGATGGATATAGCAGTCTTTACCTCATAGAGAAGTTAACAAGTCAATGTATGAATACCCATAAAATGCCTAGCACATAAAAAGTCAGCAATGCATTAGTAAAAGGGAACAACCACTGCAAACATTTCATGTCTTCTCTTGAATTTGATTCGTATGCTATTTCTTTTTTTTTGAGACAGAGCCTTAAGCTATCACCCTGGGTAGAGTGCTGTCACATCACAGCTCACAGCAACCTCAAACTCCTGGACTTAAATGATTCTCTTGCCTTAGCCTCCAAGCCTGTGCTGGGACTACAGGTACCCACCACAATGCCCAGCTACATTTTGGTTGTAGTTATCATTGTTGTTTGGCAGGCCTGGTCTGGATTCAAACCCACCAGCTCTGGTGTATGTGGCTGGCACCTTAGCTGCTTGAGCCACAGGCACCACCTCATATGCTATTTCTAAACAGCTCATTTTATTTAGAAGGAAACTGAGCCTGGAGGTGAAGTTTTTTGCTCATGGTCATATAGCTAGTAAATAGGAAAGGTGAAATCCAAACCCAAATCTCTCTGTGTCTTTTATATCATATGTAAGGTGACCAGATTTTAACATCGCTAAAGCAGGACACCATGGGGGGGGGGAAGGCAGGGCCTGACAACAATGCAAACTTTGATAAGCAGTTCTCAATAATCAGTTCTCAACAATTATTTGTTATTATTAAAGTTTAACATTATAAAATTAACAAAAATAATATAAAACACATATCCTGGTGAAATAGCCACATGGCAGCCAAAAACCGTATATTCCCTTCCTGTTCTCCCGTGTTCCCTAGCTTGTCATGCATTCTTTCCAAAAATCGGGGCTTTTTTAAAATGCCGCAGGACTCAGGGCAAATTGTTAAAAATTGGGACTGTCCTGCCAAAGTGGGACATCTGGTCACCTTACTCTAGAGAGGTGGGTGCTACTTGTTTCTTCCAGACAGTTTGGCTCCTTTTGAGCTAATTGTCCTTGCCTAGAAGCAAGGGAGGGAGCCAGTCTCCTTCTGATACCTTGTGAGTAGGGAATTTACATTAGCCTTTTCATTTCCAAATGAAGTTACATTAACCTCTTCATTCCCAAATGGAGTTACATTAACCTTTTCAGCAGCTGAAAACCATATATTCCCTTCCCATTCTCCTACTGTTCCCTAGCTTGTCATGCATTCTTTCCAAAAATCGGGACTTTTTTAAAACACCGCAGGACATGGGACAAATTTTTAAAAATCAGGACTGTCCTGCCAAAAGCGGGATCCCTAGTCACCTTAACCATATGTCCTCCTTAGAGGGCATTGTTGTAGAACGATAAGTATTAGATTTACAAAATGAGGAAACTGAGGCCAAGATATTGAACGAGCAGCCCTGAAATTTTTTGTAACATGAAGAAATAAAGTCCTCTGACTCTCACCCCAGGAGTTAGGATGGGCAACCATGTGGCTGGCTTGGGTTTGTAGGGAGTGCAGGAAAGCAGAGTCTTATTTCTAACTTTGCTTTCTCAAGACTGGAACAAAGAGGGAGAATCAGGTGGGGCTGCTTCCCTGAGAACTGTACTTCATACAACCCAGGGGTCCCTGAGAGTAAAGGGCAGTGTAGAGAAGGAAGGACCCATGTCTCCAGCTCCACAGACAGCGATAACTGCAATAGTGGAGGTCTCCTTGCACTAATCACTTGCCAGGGTACCCCACCCCAGGAAGCTCCACCACATCCTTCCAGTTATTTCAAAATAGTAACAAAGCTTCCAGGAAGGTATAGGTACTCAATTTCTTCTTTTTGTGATCTTCTTGCTTTGTATTTCTGTCTCATTTTCCTTCCTATCCAAGTGGCCTTCCTGACAGCTGCTCCGGGGGGTTCTCTTTCCTGGTTCTAGGCCTGCCTGGAAAGTTTCCAGCCATGTTTGTCTCTGTCTTTCATATTATGTGGCTGGATATTTAAAGGAGGAGGAAAACAAGGCTCAGAGACTAGCAGGGCTTTGCTAAAGCCTTCCAGCTAGTTAATAGCAAAGCTGGGGGAAAAAATCAATTCCCTTGCTTCCTAATCCCATAATCTTTCCAATACTCCATGTAGCGACCAACTTTACAGGAAGTAGAAGGTATCAAAAAGTGTTCTGTATCTATTATTCTAAAATGGGACTTCTTTTATTATCAGATATTTCCTTAGCTTTGTAAATGGAAAAACCAACAACAGAAGAGAGCCTCAAAACTAGTTAGAGTGAATTATTAGATAACTAAAGATAGCATAATTTTCCTTAAATTCAATAGGATTGTCCCTTCATATTTGACAAGGCATATTTTACCCAAAATTTCATACTAGGTGGCCTGCTTTTGAGTACTTGTCTAAGTACTTCATTTTTAGGAAAATACTGATTAAAAGAAAAATTATAACCTATTTCACAAATGTAATTATAGGTTAGTACCATGGTTTGGATGTTTGGACCCTCCAAACTTCATGTTCAGATTTGATCTGCAATACTGGAGGTGGGCCGAATAGGAGATGTTTGGGTCATGGCAGATCCCTCATGAATAAATTAGTGCTCTCCCTTACAAGTTAGTGAGTTCTCCATTAGTTCCTGTAAAAGCTGATTGTTAAAAAGAACCTGGCAACAACCTCTTCTCTCTCTTGCGTCCTCTTACTTGTCATGTGATCTCTGCACATGGCAGTTCTTCTTTGCCTTCTGCCAGGGGTACAAGCAACCTAAAGCCCCCACCAGATGCAGAAGTCCAATATTAAACTCTTCACCCATCAGAATTGTGAGCCAAATTTCTCTTTATAAATTATCCAGCTTTAAGTATTTCTTTATAGCAACATGAAATGGACTAAGATAGTGATTTTTAAAATTGGTTTATAGGCCAGGTGTGGTGGCTCATGCCTGTAATCCTAGCACTTTGAGGGGCCAAGGCAGGTGGATTGCCTGAGCTCAGGAGTTAAAGACCAACCTGAGCAAGAGTGAGACCCTGTTCCTGAAATGAAAAATAGTGGGGTATTGTGGTGAGTACCTGTCGTCCCACCTACTTGGGAGGCTGAGGCAAGAGGATTCATTGAGTTTGAGGTTGCTGTGAGCTATGATGCCACAGCACTCTACCAACGGTGACAAAGTGAGGTTCTGTCTCTAAAATAAATTAAATTGGTTTATAGTAGATAAAATATAAAATTTAACTACCCTACCCTCAATTTAAGCAAATATAAACCAAAGAAAGGCATTGTAAATTGTGAAACATACTGTTAAGTGAGATTTATTTATATTTGTAGAATTGGTAGTTCAGAAAGCTAGGGGATTTGTCAGATCTTGAAATTTGGAGAGAAGGACTGTACAAATTAGTACTGGTATCTTAGACACACATAGTTTATATATTTTACAAACTCAAAACCCAGAATCATTATATTAACAGCTCTTTTCTCATGTAGTCGCATATGTATTATGTGTTATCTATTATGCATAATCATTCAAACACTTAAACAAAAAAAGATCTGTGCACTTAGAATATTAAGTATTTACCTTTCCAAAAATTGGTGAAATTCAGTCTGGTTTGCTTCTGTTTCGGAATAATTAGTGACACAGTTTTTCTCCTTCCTTTTAGGGTTAACATTTCTGAAACAAACAATCCAAGATTTGACTGATATATTGGTATACACTAATTATCTCTCAACATGTTTTGACATGTGAAAAAATTATCATGATTTTCCCTAAAATAATCTTTCTTTAAAAAACACAGTTTGAAAAACTATCACAATCATAAATTAAACTTCATATGAAATATTCAATAATATAACATGTTATTACATCAACATTTATACCAGGAGTAATTCATATAAGAAAATAAATTTTTGCTATTTTAATCCTCTTCTAATAATGCTGAATTCTTTGAACAGTAAATTTATCATGTTTGAAGAAGTCAGAGATTGCGTTCATTTTATCTGTAATATTTTATTCATATATTGTCTTATTATTCATATTAATCCAAACCTAAAAATATTTTTAAACTGAAAAATAAATGATGCTTATAGAAAAAGGATACTAAATTGTAAAAATATCTTTGTTCAAATTTTCAACTTAGAAAACTATTCTGTGCATGTTTACGATGACTATATTTTATTAAGTGAAATAGTGCTTAAATACTGCATAGTTATTCATTCATCAGAAATGATGATCAAATATAGTTATTTATTCATTCAATAAGCACTGATTTAGGGCCTTCTGTGGGCCCTAAATCATGTGGTTAACAAAGTGATTCTCTAATACCTTTCAACTTGATTAATCAGGACACAATGTTCCATGACCATACCATAGCAGATTGCACATCTGCTATAGATGAATCAGACATCATTCCTGTATTCTGTCTTGTGGATAGAGACATAAGCAGTTAATCATGAAATGGAATGGTAGGTGCTGTGCTAGTGGAAAGATCAGGGAGATTGGAGGAGTGGAGGACAGAGCGGCTACAACTAACTTGAAAGGAGGGGGCATATAGTTCAGAGTCAACATCTAGATATGAAGTCCAAATTCATTCTCAAAAGATCTGTACAATAAAGACAGATTAGAGGTGTTGGGAAATAGAGGGGGTCACAATGGGAATAGGGGGAATGTTGATAAGAAATAGGGCTAGAGAAATACGCAGGGCTGGTTTGTAAAGGGCCTTAAAAAGCTCTATTAAGGAACTTGAGTGACTTAATAATCATAACTTACTAATGAGTAATACGTATATTAAAATTATAAAATAATCCTTTAGCACTTCATGTTGGGACTTTCCTCTTAACATTCCTTAGACTATCACTTATAAAATTTTCCTTGTTTAATTTACAGTTCTCAGAGATGAGATTTGCCTATGATGCAAGAAAAATTATGACGGTCTTAATTTATATGAACTTGACAGCCTTTATCGAGACTAATTGACAAGATCTTGATAATCAACAAGAGTAATAAATAACTAGGTAATGAACAAATACTATCTGATCTGCCTTTAGCTTTCTAGATGGAGGAACCAATAACAACAACAAAAAAAAATCTTAAAACTGTCTCAGATAAATTATTAAACAGCTACAGGATAACATGTTACAAGAGCAGGATGGATTTTGTTAGAATGGATCTGTATTTCATCATTCTAGCATGATTTTGCTTGTATAGATACTAAACAGCCAAACCTCTTTCTTCAGGCAAGTAATATGTCTCTATATGGTTTTCATGGTTTATTTGTTTGTTTTTGAAACAGTTCTCACTCTGTTGCCCAGGCTAGAGTGCAGTGGCATGATCATAGCTCACTGCAGCCTCAGACTCCTGGCTCAAGCAATACTCCTGCTTCAGCCTCCTGAGTAACTGGGACTACAGGCACACACCAGCATGCCCAGCTAACATTTTAACTTTTTGTCAGATGGGGTTGCACAGGGTGGCTCAGGCTGATCTCAAACTCCTGGGCTCTTGAGATCCTGCCGCCTCAGCTTCCCAGAGTGCTGAGATTACAGGTGTGAGCCAGCACAAGCAGCTGCTATATGTTAATAAAATTTATTTCTTCTAGAAGATATGTAGTTTGGATTTATTAAAAGTAGCATGGCAGGGCTTCTACCTTGTACAACTCAAGAATACCATTCATAACAATGACAATATGAGTGGTGCTCCCTGAACCTGGGTGACAGAGTCAACCATTGATGTAAGCTAAGCCCCTTTCCATTTAAACTTTCTGTTAACTAGTACTTACACAGAGCTTGGGGGGCTGGGGTAAGGGTAGTGCCAAGATGCTATTCTAGATCCTATAGAACAGCTTCTGAATCAGCAAATAAAAGCTTAAACTACATTTAGTAGAGTTTAACTGTCAAGTGCATGCCAGTGTGTTTTAATTATTTGGGAATACTTAATTGGTGTGGTAAACAAAATGACTCTCTAATACTTGAGCACTTGATGAACCAGGACACACTGTTCCATGATCGTACCTTACGGGCAGTAGAGAGTTTCACATACTCTGCACTAGATAGTTGTCCAAATTTGCCAATCTCTCAAAATATGTTTGAATTACCTGACCAAATCATGAATTTTTAAAACACTAATGGGATGATACCAGTCTATAATTCTGAGTCACAATTAAAAATACAGAATAAGAAAAAATAAATGTATGAATGAAGAGAATTTACATGTTAACTCTAGGTGTTTTTTAAAAAGTCACACACTACTTTAAGGACATTACCCTAACATCTTTACATCTAGCAGAATGAGCTAATTATGAAATGTATGCGTCAAAGATTTCAATTTCAGGCTTGACTATACTTCGAAGATTAATTTTTTACTTTATCATCTTTACAGGCAGTTCAGTGGTCAGCAAATCTGAATGTTACTCATTGTTCAGCCATGTATGAAGTATATTTAATCAATGTGAAGAAAGTAATATTAAACTATTATCAGCAGCCTCAAATATTCTAAACATCTCAAAAGAAAGGTCAAGAGGTAATATTGCAGCTAATAATATGAGAAACAATGTGTTTAACTCATTCTTTACATCAGAGCTTTTCAATGATCTGATTTCTTTTGTCATAAAATGAAATGAAAGTATAACAGGCAATTGTTCTCTAATGCCGGAGAAATATTGGCTGTTTGGGAAGATTTTACTCCCGTCATAAAGTAAGCTAAGGTGCAGATCAATGCCTTTTTAGGATTATAAACTTTAAAAATGTTATTCCAAGGAAAGAATAGAAATTATACAGTTATAGTTTTGAGAATTATATTTGTTCATAAAACAATGTCAAAGGTTTAAATGTAGGTAATTATATATAATAACTTAAAAATGACAAATTATATTTAGAAGGAATTTGTAAGTTCAGTTATTTCAAAATACATTAGTAAATCTCAAACAAGAATGCTAATTCAAAATATACATTGCTTATAGCACTTTTAAAAATCAAAGTTCCTCATTTCTAACTCATCTTCTGTGTTTAATCTAAATCAGCAGAGTTCAAACTGAGTTCCTGACATAGAAACGAAACGAATCTTTGTACTTATTTTCATCTTCGAATATCAAGATCTCTTTTTCTAAATAAATACAGACATCCTCTAGAAAAAAAATGTTCATAATGAAGACAAAAATCTTTAGAAAACAGAAAGAGTATTTAATAAGAATTATGAACAAGTTGTTCTCACTGTGACTTCCATCCTGGTGAAATGTCTGGACTGAGTACAGTAAGGGATCTGTTTTTATTCTTGTCTCCATTCCGCAGAACTCTGAGTCTCACAGGGACATATTGCTCTGGTGTCTTACAGATGGGTTTTTTCATGGGGGGACTGTTTGGAACAAGCAGTCCTTCAATTGGCCAATCAAACTCCTTCAGAAAGAAATGACAAAAATTTAATAAGTAAATAAGATTAGTCATGTCTAGATTAAAGAAATAATTAGACATACCGTTTATTACCTTAATCTCACTCATTCAACAAAAAGTCATTGATGGACCTAAGATGTATGTTCTACATAATTCTCACTAATGTTTATTAGAATAAAGAAGAAAGATAATTATTTTTAAAATTTCTGTAACAACCAGTGTTATGTTGCAACATGGATGATTTATTCCCTTTTATAGAAATACCATTCTAGAAAAGTAGAACTGAATTAACTTGGAATTTTTTGGCTCACATGTGAAGTATCTTTAATTGATGTGAAGAAAGAATGTGTGAAAAGTGGTTTTAGAGTAGCCTGAAATAATACCACCATAAACTAGATATATTTGCCAAAAAAGAATGTATTGGGGAATATTCCCCCTAAAACAGAGTATAATAAGAGAACTTAAACATACTGCAGATGTTTCTGTTGTAGAATTTAGTTACTCTGTACATTCATTTATTGACTCATGAATTCTCCAAATGTTTACTGATTGTTTATTATATTGTAGATATGCAGTACTTAACCTAGAAATAGACTGGCAAGTAGAATAGTGTAAGCCTAATAATGACAGGTTATGAGACTTATGGGACCACACAGGAGGAGAACCTGATTCAGAAATGCCATGTAACTAAGTCCTGACATTTCAGTAGTAGTAGGACTTAGTGCAGTAAAGGCTGAGTAAAAGGAGGGCAGAGTGTACCTATTAGATTTGAGCATTAAAGAATATGTTTGGACAATGAAAGGAGGCAAAGACGGCTACCAGAGTCAGAGCTTGGACACCTGAGTGAGTGTTATTGCCATTCAGAGACAGATACTCGTGGAAGAAGAGTAAGTGAAGGAAGGGCTGACAATAGGTGGTGTTAAACAAGGCCCAAGTTTGTTCTTTCTTTTTCTACCTGCATAAACAATGGCCCTGGCAGCACCCCTCATTAATCTTCAATGACCATTCTGTAAAATATCACAGTCCCATTAAGTGCAGTTCTGTTTCTGTTCCCTTCAGTTTGTCTCTCCCTGCACCGGACCAGATTGCCTTGATTACAGTAATTTTTTATCTGGTAATTCTTGATATCTAGTAGGGCAAGAAGACCACCTTGATATTCATTTTTTTTTTTTTAGGTTTTTAACTGTATAGTAATGATTGTGAAAAAATAATCATCCCATAATTAAAATACAAACTAGAAAAAAGACTTAGAAGACCAATGACAGCAGAGTGAGAGAAGGTATGGTCACACCCATGGTCACACCCCAGTGTTCATGACACAGCAGCACACAGCCCAGCTCTGTTCTCCGTGGTCTCAGCATCCTCTGATGGTCCTTTCTAGGACCATTTTGACTGGTGGAAGGCTAAGCTGGAACCTGGTAAAGCTGAGGATTTACTTTCCTCAGACAGCAGGCCCTGAAATTTTTGTCTTCATGTCCTCATGCTTGAAGACAAACAGGAAGGAGTCCTCTATTTCAGCAAATGAACATGACACAGAAAGTGGATAGAAGGATGCTGCCCAAACTAGACTCTCTGAAGCTACAGGTGTCTTAAAGCTTCTTCTAGTGTAAAGACACGTCTTTAGACCCACTCTCCACAACTTCCTGACAAAGTCCAGAGCCTCCTCTCAGACCTCTGTCCAGGCATTGGGAATGAAGTTGTATTTGCCACTGGTCATCTGATCCTTCAGTGACACCTGAGGCCTGTGCTCAGAGAAGGCTGGATACCTACCTACTACAGCAGATAGAAAGAATAACTCTAATTTCCAAAAGTCTCCTGCACAGTTATACCCAGCAGTATCATTGGAAACTAGAATCCCAGGAGCCAAGTAAGTGGGGGTACCTTATAAGGTTCTCATGACAGTGGTCTGCCCCCAAATCTTGGACTGGTCCAAATCAGTAATCTTTACAAGCCAGTCCTCTTTTGTAGATGACAGAAGGACATTCTCTGGCTTTAAGCCCCAATGTATAAAATTCCATTGTATAGCCTAGAGCATCTGTTTAAAATACAGCTTGCTAGTAGCTTATTGTATAGCCTAGAGCATCTGTTTAAAATACAGCTTGCTAGTAGCTTATT